TAAATGTGGATACTCTGTTTGAAACTATGTCACCTCAGTGAAATTGATTGACACCTATTTGGTTTTGAGTTATCATGTAATAAAAAAGAAAGAAAAACAAGAAATTCAAACTTTTTGCTATGATATTTACAGACATAGATATTGTTACAAAAGGAAACACTAAAACACTGTATAGTTTTGTAAAGTTTTGTTGACCTATTAAGGAGATATTTGATATACCATTTTGATGAACAATTCAAGCCATTCATACACAGGCAGTGCTACTGCTTGCCTGATAGTTAAAACTACACTCACAGGAGTCACAGTCAACATTTGTTTTAAATTTCCCTTGAGCATAATAAATGTATTTCATTATTTTCTACATACTACTGATAAATAATATATATTACCTATTTATCTCTGTTTTTTCTTTATGTATATGAAATATACCATCAATGGAAAACTTTTTAGTTTCAGTACATTACAAATTTTGCAAAATATAAAAAAACTACAACAGAGTTTGTGTTGGGATTTTTTTTTTCCAGATTTATAACATTTAAGATATGACTCCACTCTCAGAAGATCATTGTGATTTTTATTAAATGAGGAATTTAGTTTTCTGTAATACAACATCACCATATGTTCCCATGAATGAAATAGCTTCTATAGAGGCTTCTGCAAAAATTGCCAGGGTGTGGATAAAACACCGTGAAAGAAAATACTTCCAATTCTTAGTTGAAGCAATAAAAGGAGCAGTAAGTTTAAATAAAAACTATAAAAGTTGATTTAAAGTGTATATATTGAATACAATAATTACAGATCAAACAATTAATGTATTTAAAATTATTATGTATAATATTTTGTCTACCTATTAAATTTCAAAATAGCTTATTTGTGTTAATATTAGGTTATTATATTTTAAACATATGTTGTTTTATTAAGAATGACTATTAAATTAGTGTTGTTGTTTTTTATTGTAGGAAAGACTTACTTCTTCAACCATTCTAACTCGCTTATCTCCAAAGGAAGCTGAACTTTTACGGGACTCTAGTTTAAATTTCAAGGTTCGGTTTAGGTATAGTACAAGATGTGTTTTGCATTTGTAACTGTAAAGATATTTAACCTTATATATTTAAACTCTAGATATATGTTAAAATTAACTGCTATTAACAACAAGGGACCACTTGGACCTTAATGTTGACCTTACACACACACACACACCCATTGGAAAATTAAAAATTTAAACCCATCATTAATTTTTCAATTCTTCTCTTAAACTCTTGTAAAATCCTGGCATCTACTACTGCCAGTGGAAACTCATACCATAAGTCAATCACCTTTTTTAAAAAAAATTAAATGGTCATAATTGCAGCCTAACGTGGCTTTTTCCAAGTGTTAAACTTGTGTCCTATCATTCTATTATCTTTAGAATACTGCACAAAGAAATCATAGGCCTTAAGCTTATCTATTCCCTGGATAATCTTGTAAACCCATTATGATCATCCCTTATCTTTATTTTCTCAAGATAAAATGTGTTGAAATCTTAACCTATTCCATTAAAATAGCCCTTCTGTCCCAATCCCAGGACTCATCTCAGTAGCCTTCTTCTGAACCACTTCTAGTAAGTAAATAGCTGTTTTTGATAAGACCAAAACAGTATTCCAAGTGAGACCTAACTTGTGATTTATATACAGAGTTGATTACTTCTTTCGACTATATTTGTCTAACTTATCAATTGATCCCAGTCATTCTGTAGTATTGCAACATCCTCACTATAGCTAGGAATACTCAAGAGTTCAATGTAATGAGCAAACTCTACTACTTATGCCACTACCAATATCATTGATGTATATGAGGAAGAGAAAAAACTTGAGCACTGACCCCTGAGGTATCCCACTAGTAACAAGGGTCCAGTTTTACTGGATTATAAATAAAATACTTTTTCAATTGCTCCCATCTAACAGCCTTTCAATAGAATTTCCTATTCTTTCACCAAATCCTTATTAATGTGGTTTTCTTAGCTAATCTTTTGTACTGCACTTTATGAAAAGTTTTTTGAAAATCTAAGTAGACCCATTACCTTCATTAGTCCAAATAACAAGTAACATTCTTGTGAAATATTAAAAGATTAGTAAGTTAAGATTTCTCTTTTGTGGACCCAATGTTGTTTTTCATTTATGATAATCATATTTCATTAAATGAAGCAGTTAGAGGTGAGGAGCCAATGTTGACTTGAGACAAATGCCTGGTCTGTTTAGTTCACAAATATTTAATCTGCCTAAGCCAGCCATAAACGAAATTGAGAAATTCTTGCAAAGGCTGATGTGTGAATCAGACAGCACATGCAAGCATGAAAGCATGTTTTTTTAGTGGTTGTACACTCAGGTGGGTACCACACACCTGAATGTATTTGCCACTATCCTCAATACCCAGTTACCTCAGTTTTGGTCTCTGGTACCCCATCCACTTGCTCTGGCTGTCGAAGTGGTCAGTCAGGATTTGACAGACAAATTCCTTTATGTTTATCCTTCCCAGGGTGATTTCTATCATCCACTCCACTCCATGTCAGGTCCTTCTGATTGCCCCATATTAGCTGGCTCAACTATGGTTTCTGTGGTTGCTTCAGATCCAATCTACTCCACTGTTGCCTCTTCCCAACACTCCATACCTTTTACAACAGCCTCAGTCCCAGGTAGTTCATCCCACCATTCCTGCCTGGATCTTATCTAGTCCTTGGCGAGGAATTCTGGTTTATCACGGCGAGTAACTTGTTGCCACATTTTGTTCAACCTTCTTCCATGGAGGTTTATCAAAGTGAGTGGAACATCATCTCCATTGATCTTTGGGCCGGGGGTTCTCGCCTGCTCGTTCTACTGTTCCTGTTATTACAGATTTCATCACTTGGTTCTTTAATCAAGGGTCTTCAGTCTTTTTATCACAGGTTATTGGGTGTCCTTATCCCACACCTTTCATTTAACCCGGGACCGTAAAGTTTTTGTCTCCCATACCTTCTCCCTCGTGTTACATTCCTTCAGAATTAGTCATCCTCCATGGCATGCAGCTCTTCCAGATTGGGATGTCAATGTAATGTTTCATGGCCTTGCCTTACCTGCATATGAATCATTGTCTTCTTGTTTCATGTTATATTTGTCCCTTAAAATGTATTTCCCCCATGTTTTGGCCTGTGGACGTTGTCTGTCGGATTTGTTTGCCATCGAGGTTTCATGGTCTCTGTATCATTTCTCCTATCTTCTCCTTTACCCAGATTGATCCTTCCTTCCCAAAACCTCAGTGGCTAGGGAAGGTAATTCCTCCTTCTTGCCAATCTCCCTTCCTTCCATTTCCCACCTCTATTCCTGGTCTGATCAATATAGACTTCTGTGTCCTGTTCATGATCTTCATTATTATATCACATGCACAGCTTCTTTCCATCATAACCGTTCCCGTGTATTCATCCCTTGGCAACTATCCTCTGTTCATGATTTATCTCCTTCCACCCTTACCAATTGGGTTTGGCTTATTCTTCCTTGTCTCCTTCTCACTTTTTCCTGACATCTTATCTGCATCTTACACTGAAGGAAATTCTTCAAGTGGGCATGTGGACCACTCTGCATACTTTCATCTCCCACTATCTGCATTGTGTTGCCATTCTTCAGACCTCGGTGTGACAATAACTGGGTAGATTTTCTTTTTTCCCTCATTTATCTTTTTCAGGGGCCCATCTCATGTTTTAATCTGTGGCAAGTGGTGCCTGGCCAGGTATACTTCATTTACTTCGTTTGGTACTCAAATTCACAC